ACCTGCTTATCCAGGTTATTTGGATTCCATCACATGATTAACGCTCCAACTTTCAATCAATGTGTGTTTGTTCACCCGTACATTCAGTTGTCTCGATGTTATTTATGCATATCCAGAACTACTCTCAGAATGTCTTATCTTGCGAGTATAGTTTTATGTTTTCTACTTTGTCATCGTCTCTCCACTGCTTTAGAGCTCTAGGTCAAAGGCTCGGGGAGTGACCCTCTAAGAAAACCACTTACTTCGGTTTGTGCAGACAGGTAGTATTCCAGCCCTCACAAAAATCGAATGACGAAGTGTGGTGCATACATATTTGGTGCATCCTTGTACCAATGTTTATGTGTTTAAACAAATAAATATAAAACCTGACTCATTAATTTTGAACTAAGTGTACCACTCACAATATTTTTAGTTTGCATTTTTATAATTTCTCACTTTTTCGTATGATGACAGTTCACTTTGTTTTTCAATAGAGATTTTGAAATTATTCAATCTTCATTTCTCCTCCTAGGTTAACTGGCTGACCTAAACTTAGATACATAACTTAATCTACTAACCTCATATCCCTTTAAGAAAGTCATCAGCTCTGTATATTTAATTTCTAACATCTATACTACTAGGAAATACTAATTATAACACACCCCTATCTACACAGCTTCATGTACTACCATTTAAATATATTCGTATACTAAACCACACCAACATGATTAGATAATATTTTAGTATGTAACTGTTTTTGATCTTAAGTATTTTTGATTATTTCCCTGAAAAAGTTGGTAACAGACCTCCAGATAATCTGATGTTAGTTATGTGGCTTCAGTTATTGAGATTTATACGAATATGGTTTTTTATTTCATATTCTTGATTAATGTTTAATGCTTTTAAAAATTGTGTGTTAATCATTTTTCATATATATTCACTTTATGTCCAGCAAACTCTCATGTGCAAATATTCATATTTTGTCTTGAAGCTCCGTAGTTGTGAGCAAATGTACTGACTACCAGTGTCAAATTTAATTAATTATTCACTAAATTAATTATTGAAAGTCATCAAGAAAATAAGTAAGAAATATGTACAGAATTTTTTAAATGACAGAGGAAGTAATTCTTGATTATATTCTTTATGTTCCAATATACATAATTTGTAATCTATCACTGCCACTAATATTAATACCACCCTCCACAAAACTAAATTAATAATAATCACTTCCTTAATAACTTTTCTTATTCACTTATGCTTCTAGCATAATACACTCCTATGGTGTATTGATCTAACACTTATGTTAAATTTAATGTCACTGACCATATTGATAAACATAGGTTATTTATTATTATTGTATTTTTTTAACGCCCCAAAATTTTTGAATGTATCCTAAGTCATATTGTAGTGATCAAGAACTTGGTGGAGAAGTCCGATTTGTCATTTAATGCCAAATCACAGTGCTTTCGTAAAATATGAAAATCATACATTAAATGCATTATTTGCACATCTATCAGTTGTCTTTTACACGCTTCATGATTCTTTAGATTTGGTTGTTATTCCAATTCTCTTTCCCTTTCTATCCTTTTCAATTCACTCCTCTCAATCGTCTGCTGGCATTCATTCCACTTACTACACATTACTTATATCTGCCAACTTAAGTAGCATACACCACAATGTTACTGACGCCGAGGCGTGTTTATGAATGTGTGTAGACTATAGCCTTACGAATTTACCTAGTGGGAATAACTTTTTAATTAGCTTGAGCGTCATTTTTGACAATGAAATAAGTTTGAGAGAAAGTTCAGAGGAATGTGACTACGAAATATTTAACATTGAAAGTGTAACTTTGGCATATAAAATATGATATAACATTCATATTGATACGATGACGGAGTTAAACAAAGAAAGGGAAAACATTTAATAGAGGTCAAAAAACTCAAAAATGTCATCTCATTTGTAAAAGGTTCGTCAAATTTCTTACGTATCTCTATATCCTTTTGTAAAACCTCTTTAAATAAAGTTGACCAAAATTTAACTATACTAATAAACTCAAGTATCTCATGTACTCTGAATCTTTTCGCATAGAAATATATAAAAAGATGTCATTTCTGTATTATTACGGACTGTGACTTTCATCAGAACTACATTTATCCTTTTTTAAAATAAAATAATTTCCAGTATTGTTAGATATGATAGAATTTCAATAAACACAAAATCTTATCTATGATTATTTAATCCCCTTTATTTCCTTTTCCTTCTATCTTTCGTTTTTCTCTCAGTATTGTTTTCTTGTTGGTGTACTCCTTTTCGCTCTAATCTCCTTTGACTGTGTTAATGTGGGATGTGTCCACCTTGATCATAGTATAATTAAACCATGCCCTGCTTGAATTCAGAATACGGTCAATAAGTCATACATGGTTATTGTATATAACAATTATGTCATTGTGGCTTTTCAAAATTTCATGTCATACTTTCTATCCCGCCGGGAGACACAATGTTCTTTGACTTATAATAATTACTATCATTATTGTATAAAAGTTTTGGTATATGTTTTTTTCACAGATTGAAATCATGAGTCGGTTGAAGCTAGACCACCATTGAAGACCTGGAAGCACTGGACGGCCGTTTCGTCCTGGTATGGGACTCCTCAGCAGTGCGCATCCACGATCCCGCACCACGCGGGGCTCGAACCCAGGACCTACTGGCTTCGCGCGCGAGCACTTAACCATTAGACCACTGAGCCGGTATCCAACGGTGTTAATGTCTAACTTCAACCAATCCACGAAGTTGCGCCATCATATACCATTGTCTTCAGTGAGCTGATATCCCACAACAGACCTGGTTGTACTCCACTGGTAACGGCTTCCCACTAGAACTCCAGGAGTATCTCTTGAAGTCAGTCACTAGTGAGCAGATGATTATTATCAGAAGGGGTTTGTGGAGATTTTTAGAAATTTTTCACAGATTGAAATCATGAGTCGGTTGAAGCTAGACCACCATTGAAAACCTGGAAGCACTGGACGGCCGTTTCGTCCTGGTATGGGACTCCTCAGCAGTGCGCATCCACGATCCCGCACCACGCGGGGCTCGAACCCAGGACCTACTGGCTTCGCGCGCGAGCACTTAACCATTAGACCACTGAGCCGGTATCCAACGGTGTTAATGTCTAACTTCAACCAATCCACGAAGTTGCGCCACCATATACCATTGTCTTCAGTGAGCTGATATCCCACAACAGACCTGGTTGTACTCCACTGGTAACGGCTTCCCACTAGAACTCCAGGAGTATCTCTTGAAGTCAGTCACTAGTGAGCAGATGATTATTATCAGAAGGGGTTTGTGGAGATTTTGGAAATTTCACAGATTGAAATCATGAGTCAGTTGAAGCTAGACCACCATTGAAAACCTGGAAGCACTGGACGGCCGTTTCGTCCCAGTATGGGACTCCTCAGCAGTGCGCATCCACGATCCCGCACCACGCGGGGCTCGAACCCAGGACCTACTGGCTTCGCGCGCGAGCACCTAACCATTACACCACTGAGCCGGTATCCAACGGTGTTAATGTCTAACTTCAACCAATCCACGAAGTTGCGCCACCATATACCATTGTCTTCAGTGAGCTGATATCCCACAACAGACCTGGTTGTACTCCACTGGTAACGGCTTCCCACTAGAACTCCAGGAGTATCTCTTGAGGTCAGTCACTAGTGAGCAGATGATTATTATCAGAAGGGGTTTGTGGAGATTTTTAGAAATTTTTCACAGATTGAAATCATGAGTCGGTTGAAGCTAGACCACCATTGAAAACCTGGAAGCACTGGACGGCCGTTTCGTCCTGGTATGGGACTCCTCAGCAGTGCGCATCCACGATCCCGCACCACGCGGGGCTCGAACCCAGGACCTACTGGCTTCGCGCGCGAGCACTTAACCATTAGACCACTGAGCCGGTATCCAACGGTGTTAATGTCTAACTTCAACCAATCCACGAAGTTGCGCCACCATATACCATTGTCTTCAGTGAGCTGATATCCCACAACAGACCTGGTTGTACTCCACTGGTAACGGCTTCCCACTAGAACTCCAGGAGTATCTCTTGAAGTCAGTCACTAGTGAGCAGATGATTATTATCAGAAGGGGTTTGTGGAGATTTTTAGAAATTTTTCACAGATTGAAATCATGAGTCGGTTGAAGCTAGACCACCATTGAAAACCTGGAAGCACTGGACGGCCGTTTCGTCCTGGTATGGGACTCCTCAGCAGTGCGCATCCACGATCCCGCACCACGCGGGGCTCGAACCCAGGACCTACTGGCTTCGCGCGCGAGCACTTAACCATTAGACCACTGAGCCGGTATCCAACGGTGTTAATGTCTAACTTCAACCAATCCACGAAGTTGCGCCACCATATACCATTGTCTTCAGTGAGCTGATATCCCACAACAGACCTGGTTGTACTCCACTGGTAACGGCTTCCCACTAGAACTCCAGGAGTATCTCTTGAAGTCAGTCACTAGTGAGCAGATGATTATTATCAGAAGGGGTTTGTGGAGATTTTAGAAATTTCACAGATTGAAATCATGAGTCAATCTGTGAAAAATTTCTAAAAATCTCCACAAACCCCTTCTGATATGTTTTTTTGTTGAGTTTCCATTATGCCCATAATCACTACTTTTATTATTATCATTACTGTGTCATAGGGACCTTAAAACTTGCTTAATCCTGCATCTCATTTTTGTCATCATATAACCTAGACAGGAAATCTTCAGTTGAAAGATGACTATTTAGAAATTCCATAGTGTTTTCGCTAGTTTTGGTAGTTATTTTAGATTACGACTAGTTCATATTGTTTATAATAACTGGAAATATGTTTTATTTTCCCATGGCCTTTCACATCATTCTGACAATTATAGCTCCTTAAAATATACATATTTTTTGTCCAAAACAATATTCTCCACATTTTTTTATATGGTTTTCTTCTCTGTAAAAATACTTTACAATTCCTCTACTTTTGTCTTCTTAGACTTTTGACAAACAGTGTTCTGCCTGACTCATCTCTATGTCAACCCGGTTTACAATCATTTATTTCTACTAATGGATCAAATCCGAATGATGCAATTTATATAGGGAATTCACAAAATGTATCAATCATGAATGGTACGATTGGGCATGATAATAACACAGCTCCTCCACTAGTCCAAACGTTTATATCTTCCGTACAACAATCACAGCAACAACAGGGTCGTTCAAATAATCCCGGGCTAATTGACTCTACTAGAAGTATTGAACCAACTTATTCCACTACAAATGATGCTTTACGTGCCAAATCAAAGTCTCATTCAGATTCAGTGGTTGTTGTTGAAAGAAAATCTAAACGCCATTGTCCATGGTATTACTGGATTATTAGTATATTGATATTAGCCTTCCTTCTCGCACTTGTACTGGCTGTATCCTTTTCAGGTAAGCATGATATATGTAATATAGGCAGTCATTCTACTGAAACTTTTTAGTGTATGATATATATATATATATATATATATATATATATATATATACGTGTTAATGACTGATTTTAGTGACAATCTATGTAACAACCTACATGAAAATTCTCAATCAAAAACCTACAGCCAACGTGTCTTCTACTTTCATGGACCTTTTTTCACCTCTATAACGTCATCACACTACTGTAAAACATACAGGCCCTTTGGTTGAAAGACAGATATTTCATCTACTCCACAAGTAACACGAGTTAACAAAAGCCAATTAAGCTATATTATTGCGTGATGAGATTTCCCAGATAAGTGAAACGGTTTAGGTGTTGATGCAGACCAGTTCTGAAATGGCATTTAGAAGTATAGTTTAACTACTGAGTTTCAGTAAGTAATTGTGAACTGGATTTGGTTTTTTGGGCAACTTTTTAATAAACTATTTCTCGTAATTGTAAGACGAAACATGTCTCTCTTGTTCGTATTGTCTAAGTATTAAAATATATGAGTGATAGAAGACTATTCATCTTTCCCTATAAATTTCTGATTCTGCGGTCTTAATATGTGTTGTGAATAGTGATATTCCTTAAACTAATACCAGCTTTGTACTTCTCATTTTGAATTTCGGCATGAATTTCGACTTTGAAAAATGGCAAAGTTAATCAACAAACTTCAGGACGTGGGACTAGATAACACGGATTTCTAAATACAACGGCGATATTCACATTCAATTAACCAAATTGCAATTTTGAAACACAGGACAGTCGTTTTTATTCTTTGTGATACACCTCTTTTTGATCCAGCTCCTTGAACTGTGTAATTTTTGATCCTTATATATCAACAGTTCAGTAATTTGATTTGCATCAATACGGGTGCACATCTGATGAAATTAATGTCAACTTAGCAGTGCAACCACGTAATGTTTAAATAGTCTCAGTCTAAAAACCAAGTACTAGTAGTTTATGTTTGGTTATTTTTAATATCTTTGTTTATTTGCTGTCAGTACACCATATTGTCGACAATTTAAATCCAAGCACTATTTGTAGTCCTAACATCATTTTGCTAAGAAATACCTGTGATACTGAATAGTCGGTTCTATTTCTTAATTGGGTTGGTGGCGATCGAAGGTTGAACTTAAACCAAAGTCTCATCCCATTTGCCACTCACGAGCAAGATGTATCCTCAACCTTGTGGAGACCCCCCACTTGTGCAATTGAGATTTCTCACATCGATTGATTAACAAATAGGCATATGCTTGTTAATTAGTAGTGATATTGCAATGGTCGGTTGAGTCAAAGTTGCACCAAGAACTGGACAAACATGATATTTGTTACTACTGAGTGATCATTCGGTGTGATTATGTTATATTTGGTCACTTTATTCCAGTCGTGGATTCTACGCTTTAAATGATAACTTTGATTCAACTTAGTTAGATTAAGAAATATAAAATATTTCCCTCGAGAATTAATTCTCTTAGTCTTTTGTGTTAACAATTTAGAACATAGTTGAAAATCTTTGTTAATCTGTTAAAAGAGATTTCTGAATTCAACGACTCCATTGACTAAACCCCCGATAATGTAGATGACTCATTATTTTTATTTTTCACCAATCTATTCCTTTGTGCTGGTTGACCTTACTATTCCATATGTTACTATGACCTTGTGTATAATGTTAACCTGTTTGTCAGGTCAACAAGTATTTTGTTTTGTATTCTAAAGAATCTGTTAGCCAGCATCCTAGGCATATTTCATATTGACAGATGTCAATATGAAATACTGGATTGTTTTCTCTTAATTGAATCATTCTTAATGGAAGTCAATTGTGACTTGGATAACTTAACAGTAACACCTGAACCATGACGTTGAGAAACAATATATTTGGTTACAAAGGGGAAATGGCAAAATTTACCGGTAGTATGAAATTCTATTTCAAAAGCGTCGCAATTTATATACTAACTAGTCATTTGAGCCAACTATTTCAAGACAACTGAAAAAATTAAATATTAGTATAATAGTATTTCTGAAAAATTTTGAAGAACATATCTCAAATGTTGAGGATCTAATTTATTCATTCTTCAGCTCACCTGACAATTCCGAATTTGTTTTTTCCATTACTGAGAAACTTTAATAACTTTGTTCTTCTATTCTTAAGCTGTAAAATTCGCAAATAAGTATTTATTTAATCTTTTTTTCTTTAAAAATAACATTTTTCCAGAGGAGAAGAAACGTTTAGACCATCGGTTACAAGAACGATTCGCTCAAGATCCTGCGATTATAGGTAATGAGTTTTGAAACGATATTGTTAATATTTTAGACTGTATCGAATTATTTGGCAGTTTTTAGTCATTATATAGTAGTGTTTTATGATGAAGAACATTACTTGTTTAGACAGGAACTTACAGAGTTTTAAGCCATTCACTTAAGATAGTTTAATTGATAGCCTAAATTTGACTCTCAATATTAATTTTGAAAAGTAATGTGCTTAGACATTTTTTCATCAACTAAGCAAACCAGTTGAGTACGACCGTTATTGTGATTGTGTGGCAGTATTCACAACAATGCATATCCGATTAACTGTTTTAATAACTTATTCTCCTTTATTTCCATGTGCCTCATGATCACAGATCGATCTCAACTTTATTTCTCTAGCATTCTTGTTGTTTACGGTTGATAAGAGTTAGCAATTTTATCAAGGATGTTCATTCCATCCTTTTCAGTACTCAGCATTTTAATGGGCTTGCCTTTCAATACATATTCTCGTTGAAACCTGCTTGCAATATCTGTATCCTCAAACACCATAGGATTATTCATGGAACTACCGATATACAGTAGTCACATCATTTTTGATGGATATCACTTGTTATTAAATCTCATTACATTTATAAATGTTCGACTTGTCCATTCAATGAGCTCAAATTCATTTATTCAATCATCAACAAAGAGATTTCCATTTTTACTTGTTATCTGAATCAGTGCTGATCAGGCATGTTGTTGTTCATCGATATTTACTCTAAACTTATCTATCTGTACTTGTTTATGTACCTACTGAATAAATTTGAAGTCATCTGTAGAGTAACTCATTATGGTTATATAGTTCCATCAACGGCAATTTCGTACCATACTTCCGTAATCCCCGTCTAATAAATTTAATATCCATTCATGACATTGTATTACCAGTGTACACTAATCAATTGCGTCAGGTTCAATGTAATAATATAGGAATCACGCTTTTATCAAGTTTAATACTGTAAAAACTGTTAAATTGACTTTATGTAGACTGATGAAGATGCTGTTTATTTTTCCAGTTTTATTCTTATCTCTCCCTTTCTCTTTTAGTCGATAATCTAACTTTTTGACATGTGTGTTGTGTATCTATGGTATTGTTGTTATTATTACAACTTACTTTCAGTACATGTGTCATACTAACTTCTTACTCATTAATTTGTCATGTTTTCGCATGGATATTGAAATGGCTGAAGGAAAAACAATGTGTAAATTTAATGAGTCATTCATGAATGGAGTTTCATTCCCTTTTAGATAAAGCTTACTATTAGTTTTACAAAAATAAATGTGTTAAATATTGTGCTTCGTAGTTTATAAATTTACTTCAGAATTAGATGAGAGCTGTCAAATTATGAATGTTAAAGTACTTTGTTTTGATGTTTATAAATGGTTGATATTACAGTGTTTATAGAATGTTAATCAGCTTCAAAATCATGTTCCAGATGCTTATCGTAATTTATTGATTGATCCACTGTACTGACTCGAGTTCACAGTGTAGTTTGTTTTTACTTGATATGGGGATTAAAGGAAACACGTCAGCAACATTAATAAAACTGACGTTTTGTAGAAATTCGAATCCCCATTCTGTTTCCTTCAAACTATTCGAGTTGTAGCGTCATCATTTTCAATTGGATTTTACATACGGATAAATTGATAGGAGGTGAATAATTTTGTTATGTGACGACTTCGTTGCTAAAGCATTCGGATTTTAGTGAATATGCCGAGTTCGAACCCTTCACTTTGGGGAAGCAGGCATTACTATGCTTCACACAAATATCGTACCTCAATCTCTCCTATATAAATATATCACATTAATCAGCTAACTAATATCGTACCCAGGAATTCGAATATAAAAGTTAAGTAATTTTACTCGTCAAAAAATGAGCCATTGAAGTGTTAAGCATAATTCAGTTCTGCATTCGGTAATATAGGCTTCTCTTACGATTGACCTTTGGTGTTTTTGTTACACTGTGATATGAAAAGAGGGATCCAGCATTCAGTGTTATCCGATTCAGTAGCTTCATCATGCAAATGATTTAATTTTTTGTGCAGGTATTTCGTACTGCATTACAAACGTGCAAATTTTCTTACTAATTAATTTTTACCTGTAATAAATGTAAACTTTGTAATATTTATTACGTACGCTCTCCATCGATAGTCTACACGAGAAATATTGACCGTATTGTTCTATTGGCAGTAAAAATTAACAATCTTCGGTTATTTAGATCACATTTATTGGTACTATTCTATTTCAAGTTGTTCAGAGGAGTTATGATAATTGTGTGATACAGCCTATAAATCTGCGTTTTTGAGGTACACACATCCACATCACAAATGTTAGTATAGTTAAACAATAAACATATATAATGGAATTTTTGTCAAGCAGAATGTTGAATTGTTTTTGGATCTACTAAGCAGTTGACTGAAAGAAATCAGTATTGTTTTATTGAGTGATAACAGATGTTTGTTGAAGTTCATTTTTAAGGATTGCTACTGATCGTCTGCGGATCATTTTATTTCATAGATGTGTTTTATGGAATTTGATGAGCACTAAATTGAATGAAAACTGCTTTTATTCCATGAGTGTAATCAATTCAGTTTTCCCGAACATCGACTAACATCCAAGTTTATCTCTGGTAAATCTAGTTGTTGCAAAATACAAATTCAGAGTTCTGAAGCAATATTTCTTTAAGGTCACAGATGTGCCTTAACATTCAATTCTTTGATTAACTGCATATGTACTATAAAGTTAGGAACCTTGTGAAAAACTTATCGTTTATGTGGTCGGATTCAGTTCGATCACTAGGTGAAAATTCATCGGTGATATTCTTATTCCATTGAACCAAGTTACTGATTGTAAAGCAGATTGTATGGGATTATTAACATATATTGCTTTTTTAGAGCAAGATATAGTTGACATTAAAGGTGTAAGTTGTTTCGTTTTTTAAATATTTGGCATCTATCATAGTTGTATTTATTGTCTAATTACCGTAATAATGGTAATTTCCATTGCTTAATTGTAGGGAAAATTCTTTTTGAAATTTATGAAAATCCACTCCTTTTTTATTCCGAATCTTTTTCTCAATTCTCCTCTTTCTTTTCACCTTCCTTCAGTTATTTTCTTAAAGGCTTTTTAGCACCTTTTCTTGCTAGAATTGTGATGATACCCTCTTCTTCTACACTTACAATATAAACGCCATCGTATTCATTTATTGCAAACGAATATATATATATATATATATAGCTTTTTTCGAACCACTGATAGTTGTATATCTTGTGTAAAACCCTGTTCACTGTTATCCTGTATTATTGTTCAATCTGTTTAGCAGTCTATTTAGTTCACAAGTTGTATCTAGTGAATGATACTCGTGTTTATCATCATAACTTACTAGTTATATTTAAATTATTCGAAAAATTCTACTGCTTTAAACTTGTCTAATGTTAGATATTTTGAGACAAACAGCAAAAGATTCTAAATGAAGGTTTGTGTGTTTGTCAGTCTCCAGTTACTGTGAAACATAACGCCAAGTTGCTTGGCTAATTATGACGATTTCAGCATTAGATCGACTGTAGATCAATAAAGGAGAATTAATAACAAACGAATAAACTGCCGGTATTCCTCTGCACAACGTTAGAGCGTTGATAGCGATATAAGGACGATTATATATTTATTATCAGCTTGAAAAACCAGTAGCTATTTTTCTGAACATACTGTCAGAGGTGCATATAGATGCATTACAATAATCTTGAAATATCATACACATAGTTCCCTTTATTATTTTAAAGAGAGTAAGAACAAAGGTTGGTGCAGAATAATATGAATTCATTTTATTTCGTTAGGTTCTCATCAGCTGCTTACAACCTAAAATATTTGAAATTCAACGTTATTATAGATATTGACATACTTATACAACAGAGGGCGATGAAGGATGAATATATGTAACATAATGTGGTAAAGATTTCGTTAGAGTGATTGAGGTCATAAAATTTTTGTTTCGAATATATAGAGTTTGGGAGGGAAGGTTCCAGAAAATTGAAATAGTGATTAGAAATCATGGAATTAAAACACATTAGACGATTATGTAATGAAGTAACTGAAAATAGATTAATGTTAACAATGAGAGATATTGAAATTGGTCAGTTATGAATGATGTAATTATAAAATTCAGAAAGAGTTGAAATGACGTAATAAAAATAAATAAAATAAAATAAAAGGGGGTGGGGTGAATGTTACCAGGGCAAAGAAAGATTTATTACTGTTTCTTTTTGTATACAAAGATCTGGTTTTAAACGTTTGATTGCTATTGCTTCCGCGAATTTCAAAAGGTTTGAATTTGATTGTTTGTTGATCACCCTGAAGGACTTCAGTATATCGACTTCGTGTCCTTTGTCAATGAGATGTCTTGCGACAGTGCTGCTGAATGCTTTTGAAATAAACAACCTATCAAATATTCGTTCCAATATTTTGATGCGTGGTATAAGTTTTATTTATTCATTTATAAAAATGGCATTCTGAAAAGTCAATTTTTATGTCAGTATATATTACTGGATGTTTGGTGTATAAAGCTATGGCTTATTGGTTCAAGTACTTAACTTTCAGCCAACTAGCCACTAGATTAGAACAGTGTTCCACTCGACAAAACTACGTCAACATAATACTACCATTAATCCTAAAACAAAGCTCGGCTTGTTGCTTTGTTTATTTTTTTCTCTTATGGGTTCTTTATATCAGCTATTTTATATAGAATTTTATAAATGATTTATTTTGCTCCAAGAGAATAAAATTTGATAAATTAGTTGGCTAATTGTTTGTCGTCAATATGTGAGTTAACGCCGTATTATAAGGGTTTTGTTGTTCTCGTATTTAATGATATTTGTTTGTTTGTAAATCACGTTATTCATCTGTTATTTTTGTTTTTCTTGCCTTTCTTCATCCTTTGCAGGTCTTTTTGATCCTAACTCACCTCCATATATCTTAGAAGCAAATAAGCCTGTAAATATTGTTCTAGAGCCAATGAAATCATGGTCAGGTCAATGGCATATGCCTACAGCGCGTTATATACGCTATAATATTACAGTATCTTCGTTAGCCTCATCAATTGGTGTATTTATGCGTCACAACACAATGCCAACCATTATACATTATGATATATTCGATAGGATAACTGGACATAATTTGTTAGCAAATTCTGGTCGACAAGAATTAGGCAGTCGTACAAAGCGTTCCACTCAATCAACTAATCGAAATTCAAAGTCTTTAATTCATATAGGTCCTAAAGTGAGTTTAGCCGTTCTTTTTTATTATTACACGTTTTCTAGACATTGAGGTGATTTTCTTTTTGTTATCAAAAAATAACTTTGGGAACTTTTATGTGAATGAACAAACATTAGTTGGATATTCGCAGAATAATTGGCAATCTGAAAGCTGTTTATGCTTTTGTTGTACTGTTCCACTATTCTCAGGTTAATCAAGGATTGAACGAAGAATAATGAGTATACTTTAGAAATACTTTGAATTTAGGTGACTGATTTTTTGAAGATCTTTGATCATAAAAACAAATACTTCACATGTTCACCTGATTAGTTGAGCAAGTCCCATTTTTCATTAAATTTTAAGAAACTTATCGTTGTACAAAACCCACAAAGTTCCCCTTTGCATATTTTTAAATTCACTTAAAGTTGTGACTAACTGTCAATTCTGTGAAAATTCTTCCTGATTGAAACTCTCCATCTTTGTGCAACCCTAATAAGTTGGCATCGACTTTAATAAACCAATTTTATTTACCGAATTGGTTTTGTGGAAATGGCATACAATTCGAATATGATTTTCATCATAAACTAACGTCAAATCTATATCCACGCAATAAATTCAGTAAATAGGAACCATGTAGTCAATAGTGAATAGTTTGAGAATTGGCTTCTTAAAGTTTCGACCGTGATCTATGAAGTCATTCAAACAGATGGTTTAGTGAGATTGCAACTCGTGGGTCAATCATGATGTGGGGTGGGGGGTCACGAATTGACTGAATTTAAAAATGTAAGCCAGTTCAGTGGCTTTCAATGGCAGTATGGTTGCTGTCTGACCTGGAAGTTTCAGGTTCACACATTTGATTAGATTCTAACTATGGTCAGATGCCTGTTTATCGTTCTTTAGTTTACAAAGGTCCTGCAAGTGACATCGATGATTGATCACTTTTTGTACGTGCATTAAATATTTTATATGACTATCTTTAGTTTTATGATATTATGAAACGTCATATTTTATTCTTTAAGTTATTGTGCATTAGTTTTTAAGATTAATTCTGCAATTGACTCGAAATTTCTATCCAGTCGTACCCTTAAGCGACATGCCCCGACCGTTGTTGCTACCTTGACGTGGTGGTCGGGCTTGCCTATCGTGATGAAGCAACCGAGCTATACTGGCTGGAACAACCGTTCCTCAAGGTCCTACCATGTCAGACAGGTCGGTTGAAGAGCGGTAAGACTAAAAGCAGCAAACCCAAGGTCCGAAGGCGAAGTCGTACTGCTGACTGTACAGAGGTGTGACAGCAGTAAGGTGTTTCCTTCAGACAACCAGCATGACAGCGATGCTGCCTTCCCACAAGGAGGGGTGGGGTTAGAAAAGGTCGACCCTGAAAATGCACACCTCGCCTTATCCCACGGATATCCGTCTCCGGCGGTAAGGTCTCAACAAGTACGGCGCTAACACAAAAATTACCTATACAAAGTTCGTGTGTGACCGACGTCAAGCAGTTGTCCCTTGGGCACTGCGGTCACGCTCCCAGGTCCTTAACACCACCTCTAATCCAATTTCGTTTTCAGGTACCTCCAGAAGAACCCTTCCACGGTGTGGGCAACCGGGAAGTGATAACCGCCCTCATACCTCTAACAGTACTCAAGATAACTGTATTCATAATCAAACTCCATCTTCAATTCCTATTATTCCTCCTACATCGACTTTCAAATCTAAATTTCCTCTTTCGGCTTCCCCCTCAAGTGTCACCATAGCCAACGATTCCAGTGCTCAAAACACTGTCCTAGGTCTACTGAAACCTCGCTCCACACTACACATTGGAGCCTTCAATGTGTGTACCCTATGTCAAATCGGCTAGCAGGCTTCCTTGGCTAAAACCCTAGAATCTCGTACTATTGATTTATACTGTGTCTCTGAAACACGCATACAGGATTCCAGTGTGGTCATTCACTTGACCTCACCTCGGCAGAACGGAGAGCCGACGAGGTACACCTTCCATTTATCTGGCTACCCGATGGCTAGTTCTCGTGGACTGGCAGGTGTAGGCATAGCACTAAGCATGAGGGCGGAACAAGCAATGTTAGAGTGGATCCCTGCTAACAGTCGTTTATGTGCTGTTCGGCTAAACGGCTCCGTGAGAGCTCGGAAGGATAGGGACACACGTCGTTGCCTTTTTGTCGTTTCTGCCTACGCTCCCACCGACTGCAGCTCAGATGATGTGAAAGATGAATTTTACAGAAAGCTGTCCGAACTTCTTCAGAAAGCTAAACGTCCAGACATATTACTCGTAGTAGGTTACTGTAATACCCAGATAGGTAGTTTAAACCAAACAGAAAGGCATTTAGGTGGATATTTTAGCATTCCGGCACAGCAAACAGATAATGGTGATCGTCTGCTGCAACTGTGCTCAGACAGTCGTTTATTTTTAGCAAACACAAATTTTAAGCATAAGGAGAGACATCGTCTAACATGGCGACCGCCTGCACCAAGCCAACGATGGACTCAAATAGACCATATTGCCATCAGTCACCGTTGGAGGGGGTCGGTAGAAGATTGTCGCTCATTCTGGAGTACCTGCTTGGACTCCGACCACGCCCTAATACGAGCACGCATCTTCTTACGCCTCACTGGACGCAAAAAAGCCACAGTAAAAGACCCATTAGAACTGAATTGAGTAGCGAGAAAGCCAAAAGTAGGTTCCAGGAACAACTGAGGTCACACTTAGGTAGTTGTGAAGACGAGGTTGACCCAGATGTTGCTTAGAAAGCTATGCAAACAGCTGTGGAAACAGAAGTGACATCTATCAGTGATTTAAACCACCGGGTTACAAAAAACCAATGGATTTCCTCTAGGTCTATTGCACTGATGGATTCTCGTAAACTCATCCCATCAGACTCTGAACACGATGAAGAGCGTGTAGAAATCAGATCCAGGTTAACCAAAAGTCTAAGAAACGACCGTGAGCAGTGGTTGGCAACGAAAGCAAAAGAGATGGAAAAGGCGGCGGCTATAGGGAACACAAGGCAGCTCTACGGACTAATAAAAGAAACTAGAATTAATAAGTCAAGTGTAAGTGAGGTTATATCGGAAAAAGACGATACACTCATCTGCTCCCAGTCCAGGCGTTTAGAACGATGGGCGGAACATTTCAGAGAACAGTTCAGCTGGCCTTCAGCTACTCTACAACTACCCTCCATTCCCAGACAGTGTGAATGGAACATTGAAGTAGGTCCCCCAACTCTTGCTGAAGTTCAAAAGGCTATAGTGAATCTGAAACGAGGAAGGGCAGCTGGTCCAGATGGATTGGCTCCAGAGGTCTTTAAGGATGGTGGTCCAATTTTAGCGATTAAGTTGACTAATATTTTAGCTAAGATCTGGGAATTAGACTTTAACCCATCTGACTGGTCGCAATCACTTATCGTCCCAATATATAAGAAAGGGTCAAAATCATCCTGTGACAACCACAGAGGGATTAGTTTAACTAATATAATATCTAAAATACTAGCCTCGATAATTATCGGACGCCTAACTAAGACTCGTGAACTGCAAACACGAGAGAACCAAGCTGGCTTCATATCTGGTCGTGCCTGCATCGACCACATATTCATCATTCATCAGGTTCTAGAACACAGGGATACTTATCGGCGTACGACAATGGTGGTCTTTCTCGACTTAAAAGCAGCATTTGACTCGGTAGACCGCGAGACTCTGTGGCAGTGTGTCATTGAAAGGCGTACCTCAGAAGTACATAAACCTTGTGAAGGCTCTTTACTCGAACTCTACTAGTCGAGTCAGAGCTTATGGCGAACTGTCATCTACTTTTGCAACCTCAAGTGGTGTCCGTCAAGGCTGTCCACTTTCCCCATTTTTGTTTAACTTCATCATAGACCTATTGATGGAAATAACACTCTCGTCGACTGAATTCTCGGGTATTGATCTCCATCCAGGAGGTCCACTTATCGACTTAGAATACGCAGATGACATAGTCCTGTTTGGTGAAGACGCTGATAGAATGCAGAATGCTTTGGTAATACTGAGCAACAATGCCAGAATGTTTGGAATGCGCTTCTCTCCCTCTAAATGCAAGCTGCTGCTTCAGGACTGGCCTGCGTCAACACCTGAACTAAGGATAGGGAGTGAAGTAGTCGAACGCATTGACAACTTCACTTATCTCGGAAGTCTGATCAGCCCTAATGGGTTGGTATCGGACGAAATCTCAGCACGGATTCGAAAAGCTCGTTTGGCTTTTGCCAACTTACGTCACCTATGGCGATGGCGAGATATTCGTCTATCAATAAAAAGACGAGTATACTGCGCGGCAGTCCGTTCTGTTTTAATTTACGGCTGCGAAACATGACCATTGATAGTAGAAGACACTCGTAAGCTACTAGTATTTGACCACAGATGCCTTAGAAATATTGCTGACGTCTGCTGGGATCACCGAGTAAGTAATAGTGAGGTTAGACGCAGGGTATTAGGGAATGATGGTAAATCAGTTGATGAGGTTGTGAATCTTCATCGACTGAGATGGTTGGGCCACGTGTTACGTATGCCTGAACACCGATTACCATGTCGTGCAACGCTAACCGGTATTGGAGATGGTTGGAAGAAAGTTAGGGGCGGCCAAACCAAAACGTGGCATCAGTGCTTGAAGTCACTAACTTCTAATCTGAGCCATGTTGGTAGATGCAGACTACTTGGTTGGGGTCCGCGTGACTATCGTAACCAATGGTTGGAGACTCTTGGTGACATGACTCAGAATCGATCACAATGGCGTCAGTGTATACACTCTCTTTCATCCTTTTAACTAAGAGATTAAAATCGCTTCATATTTTTCTTTCTGAGTACGAAATCTTTCTTCCTGTACTATATCCTTATTGCAATCTTTCTTTTATATACTACCACCATTGACTTAACCACTCCTATGAATCCGGTGTTCATCTTGCTGTGCTAATGCGGTATGGCGACCTGGACCGATGTATAATGTGCCTGGTCCTACGTTGTAGCTGACTGACTGATTGACTTAAGCGACATGCTAATAATTCACTATTGAAAAGAAAATTAATTTTGGTGGTGACTTATTTTTATATCTTCATTTCATGTGTTAATGCCTTGAATGTATTTCTTCTGTTCCATTTTCTTCAAATGGCTGCACCAGTTACACGTTTTTAATCTTCTTTTTACATTTTTCAAATTTTGCACGTTTATTAACTCATCGGCAAAAATTGCTGTTATATGATTTTTAACACACTATATAGTTGTAAAAACGAATAAATAAATTATGACTGAATAGAGTTTATCAATGTTTTTTTTTAAAAAACTAGGCTCCGTAACAATCAATGTGTTTTTATAAACAAAATAAAAAGTAGATCATATATAACTGTTGATATTATGCTGTTTGTTTGTACCTTAATTTAGAATAAACTTGATTGTTTGCAATCATTTGAGGTATTTGCAAACAATAAACGTTGTCTACTTTCAGGCTAAGTCAGATACTGATTTTTTCCTTTTCTTGTTGTTTAGCTTTGTCTCTAATTAAACTGTAAGATTTTCCAAAGGTATTGTTGAATCTTTCGACTCTCAAACGAAGTCGGTTGACATTTATGTAATGTTGTTTAGTTAACTGACTAGAGTCTGACATTGATTTGTTTACCTTCAAATTTCTATGCACTTTCATCAATACAAATCCATAAAAGGGGAATAGATCGTAAAAAATGGTAAAGTGAATAGTTTATGTTGTGGAATCATACACGTTTGACTCCCTAAGCTTACGGCTAGTAGGTTTTTTTATATAAAGAATAAACGTCAGTCAACCATTTTCCCCAACATAAACTTATTTCGATATTCGAAAAAAAGTTCATTTGATCTTTCCGTGATACAGTAGTTACTTGAAAGAAAAGTGTTCCTTTTTCGATCACATTGACCTTAACTGACATATTTCATAGAATAATTAAGTTACAGTCCCATTTTATTTAGTTATAAACAAGATGTTAACTACAAATTCATTTATAGCATTATCTTAATGAAAAAATTCACTCTTCACTTTGTTTAATTGTGATTATGTAATTGTTCAGATAAATTTATCCCGAAAAAAGTTCATGAAATAAATTTCTCGCTATTGTTAATCTCTAGCTATTCTAGTGCTACTACCTATCTCAAGCCCGGGTAAAGGAGGAGAGTTAGGTGTGGAGTCAGCAACCTCATCCCGTAGAAAACAAACTTGCTAAAAAATAAGCTGACCAGACTATACAAATTTAATCATTTAAACCCTGTCCTCCTAGTTGAAGGAAGAATCATGACGCCTCATAGTGAAAGCTGAGATTCTTCGGAAGTCACGAGGCCGATGTCCCTTCTAACAACCAGAGCAACAATTGATAAAGGTACATAGAATGTTCGGACAATATGGGAGACTGGGATGACCAACCAAATAGCTACGAAAATGAGAAAATACACCTTGATGTTTCTCGGAATCAGTGAAAATCATCGGACCCAAGCTGAAGAGAAAAGAATGGATTCCAGAGAGATGTTGCTGCACTCTGGTCAAGAAGAAGAAAACGTTCCGCATACTCAGGGAGCTTCTCTGATGCTTTCCAAAGGTGCATGTAAAGCACTTATAGGACGGGAATCTCATGAATCCAGGATCATCAAAGCACCCTTCAACACAAAGGAAGGAATCACAAAGTATGTTGTACAATGTAATGCACCCACAAATAATTGCAACGACAATGATAAAGACAAGTTTCACTGGAGGCTGCAATCGATCATAGCGAAGTGCTCAGGAAAAAACCTGACCATCCTGATGAGAGACCTAAACGCCAAAGTCGGGATGGGCAACACCGGGTACGAAGATATTATTGGACAACATGCACTAGGGAAGAGGAACGAAAATGATGAGAGATTTGCAACTTTATGTGCATTCAAAAAGTGGTTATATGCTGCACGATATTCCCACACAATCGCACACACAAAGCTACATGGGTCTCACCGGATCACACCACACAGAATAATTCGGAAACTCAATGGATGGTATGAGAACAAGGAAAGTAGCCGACATAGCTTCAGATCACCACTAGCTGATTGTGGCCAAGATAAAACTGAGGCTAATGAAGCTCTGAACAACTGGGGAAACAGCAGTACCAAGGTTTAATACAGTCTTTCTTCGAGATACTGACAAACCCAACGAACTCAAGATAGCTCTCAACCACAGCTTTCAAGTCTTACAAGATCTACCCAAAGAAGAGGAAACTACTATAGAGGACAAATCGAAAGGGATCAAAGAAACACTGACTTCTACATGTCAGGAGGTGTTCGGCCACAACAAGCTTCATCATAAGGAACAGATCTCTATGGAAACCCTGGACAAGATTCAAGAAAAGAAGAACAAGAAGTCAACAATTAACGACAGTCAAACAAGAACAGAGGAAGTCGACGCACTGGCTAGATACACAGAAGCAAACAAGAAAGTGAGGAAGAGTAATAGAGCTGACAAGCAGAAATATGTGGAAGACCCAGCAAGGACAGCGGATAAAGCTACAACAGAAAGAAATATGAAACAACTATATGGTACAACGAAATTTTGTGCGGAAAATAATGGCTATAACTATTATGATCTAACTGACCTAGTGTTGTAGTTTGTCTTTGTGTTATACTGTCATATCTTTTACGTTTTGTTAAAGGCAATTCATACAGTTATGCCACGAAATATGTTAACTGAATTACGACCGTGAAGAAAGCACGGAATGAGTAAATGTTGTCAATTTCGTATTGTTTACCCAGTTTCAAGATGTACGTTTCAGATGCTGTTATGATGCAATGCAACCAACAAGTAAAAATAAAAGAACAATATTTTACCTGTTGGGGTTTGAAGGCGTAAAAGATTTCCATGTGTATCACGATGTATACTTAATTTAATATTATGATCATCACCACGAATTTGTGAAAGCCAACCGCTTATTTCATTATTACGATAATCCAGTCTATGTGATATCATTTGATTAGGAGGATCAGTATGCTTCAACATACAACAAGGGATAAAGTAAGATGCTTAAAAAGAACACGAAGAACATATCCCAATCACACTTGATGGAGAAGCTCTGGAAGAGGTGGAAACTCCCACGTGCCTGAATAGCATCATCGATGAACAGAGAGGATGCGATGCAGACGTAAATAGAAGTACTGGCAAAGCAAGGGCACCATTAACAACAACGTACTGTCGTAGAGGGCAAACCAGCTTCCATCTGAAGAGGAAATTAGGAAGATATACTGAAAGAGGATAGGGAACACATTAAAGAAATTATCAAACTGCATCACGAGGCAAGCTATAACTTGGATTCCTGAAGGGAAATGGCAATGAGGAATGCTGAAGAACACATTGCGTCGAGAATTGGAAGCAGACATGATAAAGATGAATAGAAACTGGAAAGGATTTCCCAGGAAAGAGTTTGATCGAGAATGCTGGTAGAAACCCTATGCTACTGTACGAGGGGTAACAGGCGTAAGGAAGTAATCTTGAGATATAATTGTCTATTACTTCTTGGTTATTTCATTCTACAATTAGACTAAAACATTGCTTCATCTGTGAAAAATTTTTGTGAATTCACTTATTTGGCCATTATGTAGCTTACCTATATAATGAATTAAAATACTTCCCCGAACCTTTTTTTCATTAAAAAAGTAGTATAAATAAGAAAATAGTCTCCGATAATAGTGTTTCACTAGTTATCTTGAAATGAATTAATCAATTCACGGTTATAGAGGCTCAGTAAACGATAAAATGATTACCCTTTATAAATGCTATGAAAATCGAGCTAGGTGAAATTTATACAATCTCGGGATTCTTCATTTTTATGCTATATATTCATTCTTTATATTTCGCTGTTGAAGCATATTGGTTCCACACGCATGGTACTCCTATTTACACGAGATTTTCGTTATTATTTGCGTCTACCTCGTATCTTTATTGCACTAAGAAATGAGATTTCTTTTGAACAAAATGTTTATAGGTTCCATGTATATGACTGATTAGAATGAACTTAGATATCAAATATTTTGAACTAATCTTCTCCATTTTATCTCCAATTTCGTAGGATGAATTACGTGAAACTGGGCGTTTGCATTATTTAGATGAAGGGATATGGTTTCTGGCTTTGGTTAACGATCAACCTCGACGTGAACCAATCAAATTCGCTATCGGTGATGCAGGTAATTATGTCTTATTTGTCTGTAAATGTATATCTTTTTTGAAGTTTGCGATTATTTGAGCTATTTCTCTTTTACTGGGGTGTTCTTTCAATAGTTTTTCTACAATAAATTGCCTAATAATATATGTGTATTTTACTCCATTACTTATCTCTTGTCACTGATTGCCACCAGCTAATCACTTTAGCGCAACTATGGAGCACTTGCCTGGTGTTTTGCTCTAATTTGGAATTTTTCAGAAATCTAAACATATGTCAAATGGCTATCCGGATGCACTGGTTGCATTCATTTACATGCTGTCATTCAGCTTATTCTGTACTGTAGTTACTACTTTAAATCGATATAAATCTCATTCGTCAAATAACGCAAGTTTCGTATAGATTAGGTGATTTAAAAATACCTAATAATAGGATTTTTCTTTATTTGGGTGCTTTTAATTTGAATCCGAGATGAAGTTATGCAAGACTTGTCTATTGTACAACCTATACTGCTCATTGTTATACACATACAACAGTCTACCAACTACGATTATCTTAAATAACCTGGTCATCACTTGGATAACTAAATCTACCTAATTTTAGCTGATATCCAAAAATGTATTGTGGGATCACCTTACAAACACAACTTGAATATATTGTACTCATTGATGAGATCCTGTTCGAACTGTATTCAGCAGTTAAGTTTGTTAAATTAACTACATGGTTTTGCTTTGAATCAGCAATTCATAAATTCCATTTAGAATACAAGTCTCCTTACAAATTCAAATTTTATTCTCTCACGAAGTTAACTATCCTTAGTCAGTCAATCAGCATTCAAAAGACTGAATTCGTCTTATCTAAATGTATCGAATGTCTAACGAAAAATGCTGTGAATATTATTCGCCGTCAATCATCATTAGAAGTTCATCTACAGACAATCAAAATTTATTATCATTATTATGAATCATTTGTATGTGGATAATTAATCTTCATCAAATTAAAACAAGAGAATAATGAAACCATCATTGATGATAAATAAACCAAACGTAAAATATTTGTTAATTAATGAGATGCGATGTATGTAATTCCAACAGGTTGTTTAATAATTTATCTGAATCATCAAAAATAACAGTTGAATCATCATGATATGAAGTAATAATAATAATAATAATAATAATAATAATAATAATAATAATAATAATAATAATAATAATAATAATAATAACAATAATAATAATAACAATAATAATAATAATAATAAATAGCGTGTAGATTGATGTACCCGTTCATTTACTAGACGAGGAAAATGTGGGTTAACTTAGTTACCTTTGTCTGTAAGTTGGTACATTATAATGGTTTATCACTGAGTGTATGTGTGAGTGTATGAATGGCAGAAACCGGTTTTACTTGTGTGTATTTGTTTGCCTTATCGAATTATTTCATAGAACTAATACTTATTATTCTGAATTTCGTTAGAAAAAACTGCAAGACTAAGCGTATTTAGTAGATGGATTTCTGTATAATTCTTTCTCAACTCGGTGCTTTACTGATTCAATCAGATACCTTGGCTATTCAACTCGTTTCAAATTTTCTTCACTCAGTGAATGTTCCGCTCTTTTATTGTCTAGCTGAAAGATTCACAACTATTTATATTTTCCCTAGCATTCTCTTAGTCCAAGTAAAACGGAATGAAATGACATGCGCATGAGATTGCTTAATAATTCATTTATTAGAAAGCACTTTCACTGTATTGATTTCTTGAACATTCGAAGTCGAAGTACCCGTGATAAATCGATTCACTTTTGTATATGCACCGCCGTATTTGATCCCGTGTAAAGTATGTCGTACCCTTATTCTATAGTTTGTCAACTAAGAAACATAACGTGAATCCATAAATAAATGGTTTAATGTCAAGATGAATCTTGTTTGATTTTTTCTGATTGAAGTTAAGTGACTAGGAAGACTTTGATATCATTTATCAAGTGTTTCCCATCACTTTCAGTTACGATTCAACAATAATTTTACTTGTATGAATTAATACTTCTTCTGTAACCTTCTCCGTTTGTTAGTGAGTTCTCTCTATAATTAAAAATTTGTATAAATGATGAGCATTACTGTGAAGCATTTTGCAAAATAGTGATGAGAATGTCGATATTTTCACATGGTAGTTAATTTTTTTCTGTTATTTCTTTCTACGTCATCTGACTCGATTTCAGTTAGCAAATATTTCAGCATTAACTTTTACATTATTATCATGACGATAGTCAGCTTAATACTGAAACATTTCTTGACCTAAATTCTGAAATAGTCTTAACCTGACTGTCGCTATCATGCGGTACAAACACCTGCAACGTCAATCGTTACACATGTTTTCATATAATAATGATACCTTTCAAAGTTACTGAAACCACTTACTGTGTGTTCGAAAAATCACTCTTCCACGTGGGATTCTAGCATTTTGTTGATTATATAATATTCCTAGTCATTGTGGCAACAAATATTCTCTTGTCAGCCTAAATAGTTTTCGTGATTCGGATGATGACTTCTTAGAAATCTCATGTGAAAATGAGGTAGTATTCTATTCCCTCTTGATTTTCACTATTTTTTAGGTCAGTTTGTGATGTGAAACGGAAGGTATTCATCTACTTATTACCATCGTTTAATGTAAACAAACAAACATCACTTTGTTTAAGTGAAGTCATAATATCAAGTACAAAGTTTTGGATACACAGTTTTAAAATTTTAAGAAATTCTCTTCTGTTATGAAAGGTTTATTTTGTTAAACGGTTAAGGTTATAAGTTGTTTTCTACTAGTATCTCATATTTCATGTTAATAATACTGTTGTACACATGTAAATGATTATTAACTATTACAATCCATCTGTATATGCATGAAATAATAATATTGTTTTCCTTTCCTACATTCAAAATGATTTCCCTAAGGCGGACTATCACCGTTCATAAACAAATTTGTGTGCACATAAGTGTTATGTAAATATAAAATATCGAGTTGTAAACTGTATACACTGAAAATCAGTGCTATGGTTGTAGGTGGGAGTGGTGATCATGCAGCAGTAGAAGTAATAATGGTGGTAGTAGCTTTTATTATGATTATTCATGCTGTAAACTGACCTTGCAGTCTTACAAAAACTGTTTATGTTTACGTTTTTATTTACTTATTACCAAGTGGATTTATGTGCAAAAACACATTATTATTTGTTCTTTGCTTTTTCTCCAATGTATAGCTATTGTAATTTTTGTGTAAGGAAATTCAATTCGTCCTTTCTTCATTGCTTACTATCTCACTCTGGTTGGTTTCCTTGACGATCCTTTTTTAAAATTTAAAGATCTGATTATTTATCTTAAGTGTTTTCTCTTTTGTTTAAAATCAGCATTTTGTCCTCTAAATAAACACCAATATAGATAACGGAAAGAGGAGCTGTAGCACTAGGGATTATGTTAACTGAACTTGTATTCATTCAGTATGAATATCAAATCTTACGACGACTCTTGATGTAAGTTTAGGTTAGAAAAGTTACGAGTCTTGCTCATGTAGTCATTGATTGTTTTCCTGCAAGATCCTGTCTACCTATTTGATTGAGCTCCTGTAATATTGGAAGTTACTAGTTGAAAGTTGTGTACGACAATCTAAAATAGATCCCGAATAAACAGATGTGTTTTATTCTAATCAGATATATGCTTTATTTTTGTTTTATTTTATTCATATCCCTTCTTAGCTCATTTGACAATCATTATATCCGCTTGTTGACCTCGTATTATGGTATCTGTTCGAACTATGACAATTTTCATGTTGTTGTGTCTATCTATAAATAATATTCTTTAAATTTCCTATGACCTTCTTAAATGTTCTCAAATATTCTTCATTTTTGAATATTCTATGGGGATTTTTAAACCTTCTTAAATGTCTATCTTTCTCCAAGCATCTATCTTCCCTCTGTGTTCCAACGCGTTGGTGATAATTGTTGAAGTATTGTGTTTGTGAGTTAACCAGTCTATCAACTTCGCATTAGATCGCGTTCCTATCAGAAGAACCACAATTGTTTGTAATTAAAAGTAACCATAAGACAAGCGCAAAATACAACATTATTACATTAGTCTCGTTAGTGAATCAGTCGTCAATACCATATTAATACAAATATCTTTGTTGGGTGATTTTCAAAATAAGTTTTGATTAAAGTATAGTTACACCTAGTGTACATTTATTCACCTAATATCGAAAACACTTTGAAAATAACTTACAAGTTATCGCATTAATACTATATCATCCATCAATCTATTAACTTCATGAATAATAATGTAGATTGCTAATTTAGCCTTTTTTAGAATAACTACCTTGAAATTCTTTTCTATTTTTGATTGTTTTTATTAATAAATACTGGAATCCATTTTCTAATCTACTATCCATTTTAACATTTACCAGCTTAATTTCGAAACAGCTAGCTATGATTGAAAAATTGCAGTCGTTCTGAAGTGATCCTTTAGAAAGTCACTAGGAACAAAAAAAGTACCATTAAAGCCTTGATGCAACACACAAGCGAACAATACTGTTTTCAATTAGATCTTTATCACACTTCTCATACCTGATAATCTTCTTATTACATTATCTTACTTATATCTTCTCACCCCTTTCATACCTCTTATTTATTAGTTGCATACTTAAGCAGATTGTCCACACACTTCTTATCACTTAATTCCTAATGGTTATTATTTTAGTGTGTTTACTTTTTCTGGTTTTAACGTACTTCCTATGTCGAAATCCTTGTTCATGTTATCATGCTGACGGCTGTTCTCATTTTTACTACTCTACCTGTCACCTTACTACCAATTTGAACTTCTTACCAATTATAATGTCACATCATTCTTTTTAATCGTCATGAATAACTCATAAATTCTATTTATCCGTTTAATAATTGTATATATGCATATAAATATTACTGTATGTTAGAGTAAAGCCTGATGATCTAATTGAGGAAATAGTATTGTTCGCGTGCGTTACTCTAATTT